CGACAAGAAGAAGAAGAAGAAGTCGCTGCCGGCCGCGCCGCCGCCCGCCGCGGCCGCGCCCGTCGATTTGCTCGGCGGCCTCTTCGATGATGCCGCCCCGCCGCCGCCCGCCGCGCCGCCCGCCGCGCCGGCGCCGCCGCCGCCAAGCGCTTCCGACGACCTCCTCTCCCTCCTCGACGGGCGCGCGGCGGGCCGCCCAACGGCGACATGTCCAAGACACGTCCGTGACATGTCCGAGACATGTCCTGTAGGCCCGTGGCGCCCCCGGCGCCGCCCGCCGCCGCGCCGCCGCCGACCGCCGCGCCGCCCCTCGGCGCGATGCAGCCTCCCCCGGGGGCGATGCAAGCCGCGGCCGCGATGCGGCCCACCGGCGGCGGAGTCTTTGGAGGCGGCCCAGCCCAGACGCGGAACAGTCGCACGTATTCTTGCGCTCCCAGCCAGCGCTCGAGAGGACACGCACTCAGCCGCATTCGGCCGTGCTCCGCTGTAATGACTGTATTCGCCTCCCCCCCGTGCTCTCACGCGGTGCTCTGAACACACCGCACGCTGCCGTCCTCCCGCCCCGAGGTTGGCGTCTTCAGCACGTGGGCCGGGCGCCCACCTTGGCTACCGCACCACCCACGGGACGGAACCCACACTGGGTTCGACCACTCTGGAGGTGTGGTACATGCAGGCGTGCCAGTCTCCGACGCGCCCGTGGCCGACGCGTCCTCGGCGCCGGCGCCTCTCACATCGGAAGCGCGGCAGCTGTGAATGGCGAGCAGCAGTCTCTTCACACCTCGCTCTGTGAGACCAGGTGCCTCTCACATCGGATGCGCGGCTGCAGCTTTCCGTCTCGAAGACGGCCGGAGCCTCCGCCGCAGAGCTGGCGACCGGCGGGCAGAGTAGCGGCGCCCGTCGGAGCAGCGCCTCTTCACACCTCCACCTGTGACCAGGCAATCGGCCTGCGGAGTAGCGGCGCTCCGCTGCGCTCGATCGCAGTCGCGCTCGACGTTCCTCTCTCGCTGCGCCTCTCGCTCTCTCCTCCGGCGCCGCCCGCCAGCGGGCAGGTGCGCGGGGCCAGACAGCAAGTCAGTCTGACACACACCCTGCATGTGGGGGACGGGCACGCACGCGCACACCCACCCTTCATGTCAGTCTGACACACACCCTAGCATGTGGGGGACGGGCCCGCACGCGCACACCCCACACTCTCTCGCTGCGATCGACTGGCTCGCGAGCCGACACGAGGCCACACACTGCCACCGGCCGTATCATTTGGGCCCGGACTGCTGGACGCACAGATCGCAGCTCACAGGGGAGATATGGGGAGATATGGGTCCGGACTGCTGGACGCACAGGTCGCAGCTCACAGGACAGCTCACTGGGTCCCGGACTCTCGGACACTCTCGGACAATCTCGGACAATCTCGGACAATCTCGGGTCATCTGGGGACCCCACGAGGCAAGCCGTCACCGGCCGCATCACCGGTCCCGGACTGCTGGCAAAGGTGAGCGGGCCTCGCTGCTCCATTGCCGAGCTGCACGCCGCCGGTGCCACGTCGGTCGGCGCGTCCGTCACGTGCGCCACCGCCGCCGCCGCCGCCGAGCAGCACTTGCTTGGCCAGGTCTGCTACCGCACCACCCACGGTACTGAACCCACACTGGATTCGGTACTCTAGAGGTATGGGACAGAGGTGCACTTGCTTGGCCAGGTCTCGTACACCGAGGCGCTGAGCGGCGCCTCGCACATCCTCTCCTTCCAGCTGCCTCTCAAGCCGAGCGACCTGCTGCGCCCACACAAGATCTCGACGCAGCAGTTCGGCGCCATGTGGCCGGCGCACGCCGCCGAGCGGAAGACGGTGGTGACGACCGCCGCCGCCGCCGCCGCGCCAAAGTGGCCTCTCCTTGCCCGCGGGCGGGCGCTGCACACGTGCGGCGCTTGGCTGTTTACCCGCGGCGCGCTTGCGAGCAGGTACTCGACCTTGGTCGGCGGCGCGATGCACCTCGCAGCGGTGCAACGCCATCGGCATGGAGTGGAGCGGAAGCACCCTCCTTCTCGTAATCACAGGCCGTGCTGGTGACGAACAGGCCCACTCGGCCGTTGGGCGACCTCTCCCCCTTCCCCCTCCCCCCCTCCTCCTCACGACCATACTCGATCGTGAGCAGGTGGACACCATCGGCATGGAGTGTATCTCGGCGGGGCAGCTCGCCGGCTCAGAACATACCGTGCTCGTTCACGCGAAGCTCGGCCTGATGCAGGGCCGCGCGCCCGAGCCCACCGGTCAAGAGTAGTCGTTAGCTCGTTCCTTAACCAGTTCGTCAATCCGTGCAGGCCGCGCTCTCGAGCTCACCGTCCGCTCAAAGGAGCTGCGCACAACCGACGCCGTGTACCGCCAGCTACAGGAGCTGCTCCAGCAGGCGCCAAGCGCGGACTAGGCTTAGACGCGGCGGTGGCTGATTCGTCAGCCGGGGAAGCCGGGTCGCTGTTCCCTATGACTGTTTCATTGCTAGTACTTATGAGAGTCTTTCATTGCTAGTGAGCCATTCACCGAGGCTGCTGCTGCTGCAGGCGCGCTGACGGCGCTCTTCGACCCCCCCCCCCGCCCCCCCCTCCCCCTCCCGGTCCGCTGGTGTGTGCCGCCGGGGCAGCACGCTAGGGCCGGGTTCTGCCGAGGCGGGTTCGTCGGGGAAGGGTTTCGCTAGAGAGGGGGAGGCGTGCGCCGCGATAGGGGGCGGTGGCTCGTCGCCCGGCGGTGGTAGGGCCAAGGCGGCCCTCCCGCCCTTCTACCGTCGATCTGCAGCGAGCGAGAGCGTGAGGTCAGTGTCAGGTAGCCGGGCAAGTGCTGAGGGGAGGTGGCGTTAGCTTGCGGCGGCCAGCGCGTTGTCACCCTCGCACCGACCCCTGACATGGTGCCCTCACGCGTCGTGCGGCGCTTTTTTGCGGCGCCAGGTGGTTTTGCTTTTATATCGCCACTGCGAGATTCGCTGTGCGGCTGCAGATACCGTAGAGGAACAATTACGGGGAGCACGTTCAGTGATGAGCGATTCTTTTTCTGTGAGAGAGGTTCTTTTCTTCAGGAGTCGCTTAGGCGGCTCCAGTGGTGTGCCTGTGTTAGCGCCAGTGCGCGCCAGTCCCGTGCCCAGTGTTGTGCGACGGCACTTGGAGCACTTGGAGCACTGCACTTGGACGGAGTTTGTCGAGCTTGTTAAATTCTTTTTCTCGCGATGTCCACCCCGCCGCGCCGCCGCTCGCGCCGCCTTGCCTCCGCCGCCACCGCCGCGCCCTCGCCAATCACGCCGCCGCCCATCCGCCTCCTGGACCTCCCCACGGAGCTCCTCGCGCGCGCCCTCTCTCGCTGCCACAGCCCCGCCGACATCACTCGCGTCGCGGCCGTCTCGCTGCTCTTCCACGCCTCGCTTGTGGTGGAGGCCATCCGCTTGTGGGCGCAAGAGCGCGGCTACGAGCTGCCGGCGCAGCCAGAGGGCGAGGGCTCCGCCGTGCGGTGGCTGTGCTTCGCTGCGCTGCTGTGCGAGTCCAACCCGCCGGCGAGGGCGGCGGCAGGCGACTTCCACAGCATCTCCATCGACGGCGAGGGGCGGCTCTCGTCGTGCGGCTGTGAGGCAGTCTTCCCAGGGCTGCTCGGGCACGGCGAGGGCGTGACGCGGCTCAACACGCCGACCCGCCTCCCGTCGACGCTGGGAGCCGTGAGCGTGGCGGCTGGAGCGCGCCATCACCGCCGACGGCAGCGTCTGGAGCTGGGGCTGGGGAGCCGCAGGCCAGTTGGGCCACGGCGACGAGGAGGAGCAGCGGCAGCCAAAGAAGATCGAGGCTTTTGCTGGTCAGCGCGTCGTCGCTGTGTCTGCAGGAGGCGCCCACAACCTTGCGGTCACCGCCGACGTCGAGGGACCGCATGTATGTCGAAAAAAGAAATTTTCGGGGCGAAGAGGGTGAGCGCGAGGCGCATCAGCGCAGCGGCCGTGCGCAACGGCGAACGAGCGGCACGGATGAATGCGAGAAACAACCAAAATAACCCGCGCGCGTTTTCGCCCTTCCTTGCCCGGTGTCCGATATTGGTGTCCGATAAGACGAGCACGCCAAGAGGACTGGGGCTTCTCGCCGAAACGAGAGGCGGCAATGACTGCTCCTCCTGTGGCGCCGACGAACCTGGAAATTCCGCGCCATATCGTGGCGTCCTGGAAGCGGGAGGCCCGCGCCTCAAAGCCGGCGCGGGATATCGAGTGCGGTTGCGACTCATGGAGGGACTATGTGAAGCAATGGGAGCCCTGCGGCCCCGAGTGCGCTGGGGAACCAACGTCTCCAGATGAAGAAGCTTTCGGAAAACTATGTTATCTCATACCGACATTCTGCACGCCATTACCTCTGATTCCGTTGCTTCCATGCGATGACTTCTTCGCCATGGATAGCTGCATATGCTGCTGGTTCCAGCCGTGGGGCCCCTACGGGCTTTGTGTCAGTTGCTGCTGCTGGGAGGACACGTACCCGGCATGGCTCGAGCGGCAGGGGCCCAATGCAGAGCGGCGCCAACGCCACTGCGACGAGTACGTCCGTGAGAAGACCGCCGAGTACCTCAGCGAGCAGGCGGCCGCGCCAGAGCGCATCACCGACCTCGAGCGCAGTCTCGCCTGCGCACGTGCCAACCTGAAGCGGGCTGTGGACAGCGGCTACGCGACTGCAAGCGGTGACGTTGCATCGGTGCGGAAGCAGCTAGAGCACCTGCGGCGTGAGCTCGACTCGGCCACGGCTACAAAGGAGCGGCAGCTTCAGTCGCTCCGCCAGCAGGAGGAGGCGGCAGCCAAGAAGGGCGACTACACCACGGCCGGACGGCTGCAGACGGAGCGGAAGCGAATCGAGTCGACAGACAGCGCCGCCCCTCTGCAGGATCTGATCGTGCCGCTTGAGAAGGGAGAGGCACTGCTTGCCAAAGTTGAGGTCCTGGCCACAGAGCTGGCGCAAGCACGGGACACGGCGACCAAAGTCAAGAGGGAGAAGGCGAGGGCGGCGCGTGCAAACGCCAAGAGCGACCTCCACCGGGAGATGTTCAAGGTGGCTGACGAGCTCGGCGGAGTGTTCTCCACATTGCGCGACACGAATGGCGACGCGCGCTTCGAGGCCAAGGACCTCGTCTTCGGCAGGCCCGAGCAAGCGGCGCTCGGCGTGGAGCACTACATGTGCGTCGACGACGGCGACTTGCGAGCGAAGATGAACGGTGGTCTTCAGGCCATCCGCACAGAGGTTGCAGCCAACGGGACCGATGTCGACAAGGAGTGCCTTGAGTACGTGCTCGAGAAGGTGGCGGGCGATAGCGACAAGGCGTTTCAGGGCGGTCTATTGCGCGACTGCGATGCGCATGGCAATGTGCTACCGACCCGCCGCGGCAAGCGGCTCGCCGATTTCGTCGCCGACCCAAAGGCGCAGGTGGCCAAGTTGACCGAGGCGCACATTGCAGCCCTGCGCTTCTACACCACCGCAGCCTTCAGCACCATCAACAACGGCCTGCGTGACCAGGCCCGCTACAAGGCCGAGCGACCACATCCGTTCCCCGTGACGGTGGCCTTCATTGCGGAAGGGCTCAAGAGGCTGCGAACGGTGGCTGGCAAGTCAACGGAGGCTAACAAGGAGGTCACTCTCTACCGCGGCATGAAGGGCATGAAGGTGCAAGACAACTTTCTGCAGCGAGGCAAGGGCGGCACCGAGCTCGCGCCGATGTCAACGACCTCGTCCCTCAAGGTTGCGATGCTGTACTCGGCGTCCGAAGACTCGCTTCTGCTGCGTGTCCTCTCCAAGAACTTTATGGTGCGAGGCCCGGACATCTCTTTCCTCTCCGCCTTCCCCGCGGAGCAGGAGTTTCTGTTCCCGCCGCTCACATACCTGGAGCCCACCGGCGACGTGCAGAAGCTGCGCGTCGACGACGCCACCTTCACCGTCATCGACGTGCGGCCGCAGCAGTAGCCAATAGACCCTCGTTCATATGCGCTGCGCGAGCCCCGGTGAATTTCCTTGGGGCGGCGTGAACCGGACCTTAGTAGGCGTGTGTGACATTTGAAGTGAATGTTAATAATTAATGGGTACGCCCCGCACTCAAATCGGAGGGTACCCGGTATAAAGTTCTGCAGGCTGTGGCTGAGAATTCTTTTTCGCCGTCCTTGCAGGAGTCGTTTGGCGGCTCCCGTGGTGAACCTGAGTTAGTGCCAGTGCGCGCCAGTGGCCCAGTCCCGAGGGAGTTTGGTTGTAAAAATCTCGGGCGACTGCCCAAGAAGGTCGAGGTGTGGCCCTAGGCGGGTCTCGACCGGCTCTTACTATACGATTCTCCACGTGGTGTGGTGCGACGGTGTCTCGGTGTGTGGTGAGAGGCAGGGCGGTACCGGTAGCGACGATGCGCGGACGAGAAGAAAGTGAGTAAGTGTGTGGTGGAATGTGAAGGCGAGAGCGTCGCGCAGCGTGCACTCAGTAAAGTAGAGCCGTACACGTGATCGTGAAAATGCTTAGTTTTGCCACAGACCAAGTCCAAGAAATCTCCGCTAGAAGTAGAACAGGCGAGCTGGGGCCTGGCCCCCTGCAACACCCTCTCCAGCCATTCCAACGCGGCGCGTCGCTCCGCTCTCCACCTCGTTGCCCGTCGCGGCTCAGCACCTCCGGCAGCGCGCCAGCCGCTCACTCCGCCAGGAGGAAGCTCGCCGCCGCGTCGATACGCTCCGCCGCAACCCTCGCCTGCACATCGGCCGTCAGAGTCCTCTCCACTGCCCTCGCGCGATCTCGTGCGATCTCGTGCGATCCCGTGCGATCCCGTGCGACCTCGCCTGCGCGTCGGCCGTCGCCCAGTCGCCGGCGGAGACGGCGTCGTACACTCCAGGCAGCGTCTTTGGCGCGTAGCCGGTGTACAAGCCTGGCGCCTGGCAGCGCGGGAGGCGCAGAAGGAGGTGTGGAGATGAGAAGGAGGGGGGGGGGGGGGGCACAAGGGTGAGGCGGCCCGAGGAGGCGGGGCGGGGGAGGAAACTGGGGTCAAGCGCGTCGGGAGGTGTCGGGAGGTGACGCGAGGAAGTGTGACGGGGCCGGGGGGGGCTATAGCCGCATCACCTGCAGCACGTGCCTGAAGTACTTGCGCGTTGGCAGCCCGGAGGCAGAGAGGAAGCGGCGCTCCGCGTATGCCAGCTTCTCGTTGAGCGCCGCGGCCGCGCCTACAGGGAGATCGTGGGAGATCGCGGGAGATCGTGGGAGATTGTGGGAGATTGACGAACCAGCGGCCGCGCCTACACGGTCGGGCGGTCTCGAGTACTCGCGGGCGAGATCGGCTTCTCTCGTTAAGCGCCGCGGCCGCGCCGGGCGGCGCCGCGCCCTTCGCGACACGGCGCTGCTCGTCGCCAACCTAAAGCCTCGGGCGAATCTCGGGCGAATCTCGGGTGAGTCTCGGGGTGAGTCTCGGGCGAGCCCTCGCGGTGTGATCTCGGATGCGCGGCGCTGCTCGTCGCCGAGACACCCGCAAACGCAGATCGCGGCTGATTCTCGGACGAGCCGGAGGGGGAGTGATCTCCGAACGATCTCGGGTGGCACCCCCTGGCGCCGCGGGGGCTGGCGGCTCTCGGCGCGCACCTTGCCCGCCGCCGCGGCGAAGCGCGCGTGCGCCGCCTCGAGCGGCCCAAAGTTGACGCGCGAGGCGTTGGAGGAGGAGACGTTGCGGGCGTGCGCCTGGGTCGGAAGGGGGGCGAGGGACAAGCTCAGCCGCCACTGAGCAATCACAAGTCCGGCCGAGCCTCGTGCGATCTCGTCGCAGCTCGGGGCCCCGGGGGCCGCCCGCCCTCGCCTGTGCGGCGCGGAAATCTCGTGCGGTCTCGTGCGATCTCGTGCGATCTCGTGCGATCTCGTGCGATCTCGTGCGATCTCGCCCTCGCCTGGGCGGCGGAGATGTAGCCGCCGATCGCCTCGGCTTGCAGCGTGAGGTTGAGCGGGAGCGGCGCGTCGGCGTCCGCGTCGCCGGCGAGCCGCAACGCGACGAGGCCCCAGAGGCGCGCCTACGCGGGGCATGTTCTCGAGGACATGTCGTGGACGCGTCCCTGAACGCGCGCGGGGTGGGGGGGGGGGGAGGCCGCAGGGGCGCGCCATCGCGACGTGGCGCACGAAGCCGGGGTCGCCCTCGGAGTCCATCCACTCGAAGGAATCGAAGGTGGAGTGGTAGACGCCTACGACCATGCGTGATGATTCGTCTCCGCTCCCATCCTCTCGAAGGAGAGTCAACGGTGGAGTGGTGGACGCCGTACGGAGCTCCCGACTCTGGAGAGAAAGCCATGTCGAGGCACGGGATGCCTAGTGCAGCAGCCGAGCAGTGGTTGGACGCCAGTGCTCATGAAGGCCACGTCGAGGCACGGCCATGCGCCCAGGTGGTCGATCGCGGCCGTGTAGTCCGAGCAAAGGTGTGTGTGATGAGATATTCGAGAGGTGCTACGGCTCGCATCCCGGGCCGGCCCGCCCGCACTGGATTCGGTACTCTGGAGGTATGGGACTACGGCATGCCGAGGTGGTCGATCGCGGCCGTGTAGTCCGAGCCGGAACCCAGAGTCATTAGCCGACCGTCCGACCAGTGCGCCTATTCACAGCTGCTATTCACAGCTGCTATTCACAGCGTCATTAGCCGACCCTCCGACCAGTGCGCCTATTCACAGCTGCTATTCACAGCTGCTATTCACAGCGTCATTAGCCGCCCCTCCGACCAGTGCGCCTCCGCCAAGCTGCGCCCCGAGCTGTCCGGCTCAGGGACGGCGCCGAGCGCCTCTGCGAGCACGCGCCCGAGCGACGGGGTGCCGCTCGCGTGGAACCGCGTCCCGCTCACGCCGGTGTCCACGTTGAGGTAGGCGGCGGCGCGCCTGGGACGTGTCGCGGACGCGTCGCGGACGTGCGCCGTCGCGCGCGGAAGGCCGCCGCTTTCGCGTGCGGCGGCGCGCCGCAGCAGGGGCGAGTCCGCGTGCTTCTCCCACCACGCGGTGGAGCCGAGCAGGCCGTACTCCTCGCCGCTCCACGAGCAGAGGACGATCGAGCGGCGCGGCCGCCAGCCGCGCTTGAGCAGCGCGCCGAGCCCTTTGGCGACCTGCGAGCAAGTCCCGAGAAGGTTCCGAGAAGGTTATCGCTTCGGCGCCGAGCCCGCTGGCGACCTCGAGCATCTGCGACGTGCCCGAGTTTGGGTCCGCTGCGCCTACCAGGCTCCGAGAAGGTTCCGAGGAGGTTCCGAGAAGGTTCCGAGAAGGCTCCGAATGTGGGTCCGCCGCGCCGTACACCCAAGCGTCGCGGTGGTTGCCGAGGAGGATGGGCTGGTCCTCGGCCTCGGGCAGCGTGCCGCGCAGCGTCGCAATCACGTTCCAGACCGGCCCCTTCTCGAAGCGGTTCCGCACCGCCAGACGCGCACGCACGCCGCCGGCCGACGGGCCGAGACGGTAGGTGAGGTTGAGCGCGCCGCGGAAGGGTGCCGGCGCCTCGGGGCCGCCCAGCGAGCGGAGGAGCGGCGCGGCGTCGGCGTACCTGCTCACAGCTGCAGGCGTGAAGAGGCGCCGTCCACAGCCATAGTGCCGGCGCGGCGTCGGCCGTACGAGAGGGGGAGGACGGGGATGGTCGGGATGAGCTCGGACTGGGTGTAGCCGCAGAGCTCTTCCGACGCACCGGCGGGCAAGTACGCACGGGAGGGGTCGCCCGGGCAGAGGGAGATGAACTGGATCGAGCCGCGCTGCACCGACGACGGCGGGCGCCAAGGGCCCTCGGGGTAGACGGAGCCCTGCCCGAAGCCGTCCTCGGCCGGATCCGAGTAGATGAGGGCCGCGACGGCGCCGCGAGCCTCCGCGTTGCGCGCCTTGAGGCCGCGGAAGCACTTGCCGTACCGCATCAGGACGATGGCGCCCTCGACGCTCACGCCGCTCGCCTGCAGCGCGTCAAAGTCCTCCGGAAAGCCGTAGTTCGCGTACACGACCGGCGCCGTCACCTCGCCGGAAGGAGAGTACGCGTTGAAGGTGTGGTTGCGCCACCAAGTGTCCGACGTCGGATCGTCCGGGAGGATGTCCTCGGAGAGTGGCGCCCGCAGCAGCACCTTGCCCTCCTCGTCCACGAGGTCGAGCGAGCGGTTGAGCGGGTAACTTAGGAGCACTCGGTGCGGGTCAATCTCGGCTGGGATGCCGGCGGCACGGATGCTGTCGCGGACAAACTCGGCCATCGCGTGGTCGCCCGGCGTGCCGGCGACGTGCGGCCTCGATGTGATGTGCTTGAGGCTCGCGCGTGCCGACTCGGCGGAAGGGACCGCGAGGAAGGCCTTCTCCGCCGGCGAGGCTGGCGACTGGCGGCTCATGCATGCCACGGACGGTTGGCCGATGGTGAAGGTTGGCGTCTCGCGGATGTCGGTGACGCAGGTCTGGCCGAGCAGGAGGATGCTGGCGGAGGAGAGGATCATCTCAGTCTCTGGTTCTCGAGGTTCTCGAGGTGGATATCCTTTGGCAGTCTCTGGTGATCGAGGGTCGGCGGAGTATAGTGTGGGCCGCTCGCTTTCTTTTTTATCGAACTGTTTTTCTTTTGAGAAAAGAGCAAACAGGATTCGGCACTTCAGCTTTGTGTAGTATCATTGTATCCCAGATCATACCCCAGGGCTATACCCTGATACCCTCTTGAGAGGACCCGCATTGGGCCCCTAGAGGATAGGCTGATACCCTGGTGGGTTACCCTTCACACCGACACGACCCACCTCTTGATTGATTGATTGATGGGAAGGCGAAACACAGTCCGACCAACGACTGGGACACCAACGCGGTATGTTTGTTTGTCGGTATGGGTGGACGCTAGACGGGCGATGACGGTCACACAGGAGCGACACACAGAACCACAAGACAAGACACTCAGCCAAACTGACTGCCACACATCCTGAGCGAACTTCCCTAGTCACCCGCGGCCGGACTCCATCCGGCACGCCACCTCTTCACACCTTTGATTGATGATCACACCTCTTCACGCACTGCCGCGCGCCAAGACAGACAACGCTCTGACTGTGTCGCGCAGGAGGGAGGCGACTTTAAGCAAGGGTGTCGCTCGTGACGCTGGTGAGCGCACGGTGGACGGCCGCGATTGTGTGCACGATACTATCACGATGTCGCTGTCGTGCACCGGGCCGATCCCCCGCGTCGACGCGCCGCCGAGCTGGCCAAGCCAGAGCCAACGGCCGTGGCGCATCCCCAGCGTGACCACGGGCGAGCCCGTCCACCTGTACCTGAGCCTCCTCAAGACGGTGCTGACCAACGGCGTGCACGAGGACCTCGCGGAGCCCGTCGCGAACGAACGCGGGCAGCGCGACAACGTGGGCTGCGATCCGGAGGACTCGCGCTGCACGCTCGCGTGGGACGGATGGGCGCGCCTGACCGCACTGCAGCCGATCGCGGAAGGTCTCCTCGACCGGCGCGTCCCTGGCGATTGGGCCGAAGTCGGCGTCTTCCGCGGCGGCATCTCACTCTTCCTCCAAGGCATCCTGACGGCGCGCGGCGAGGCGCGGTCGCGAAAGCTGTGGCTCGTCGACTCCTTCCAAGGCATGGGCAGCGCGGCGCACGTGGCGTGCAAGGAGAAGGGCCGCGGCGGCCGCGGCAACCCGTGCAGGGCCGACGAGTACTGGGTGCGCAGGTTCCCGCTGTTCAGGCGCAACTCGGCGGAGGCCGTGCAGCAGCGCTTCCTGCGCCACGGCCTCCTCGGACCCGGCGTGCGCCTCCTGCCCGGCTTCGTCAACGACACCCTCGCCCCGCCGTGCAACCCCATCCGCGCGCTCTCGCTGCTGCGCATCGACGTCGACGTGTTCGCGGCGACGCTCGACGCCCTCGCGCACCTCTACCCGAGGCTCACGCCTGGCGGCGTCGTGCTCTTTGACGACTGGAAGCTGCCCCTCGCGCGGCGCGCCGCCGAGGAGTACCGCAGGTCGAATGGGATCACGGCGGAGATCCGATTCCTGCCCGGGACGGTGGACGCGCAAGCGTATTGGGTGAAGCCATAATGAACGCTCGAGTTACTGACCAGTGTCATCCCCGGTTCCGCCCCGCGCGCGCGGTCCAAGCTCGAAGTCGAAGCTGTGGCGTGCACTGGCGTGGTACCGTACTGTCGTCGTACGCATGTACATATGTCGATCGGGTTGCTCGGATCCTTCGGAGCGATCGGTGCTTCCTTATGCGCGGTGCTCCACAGTTGTTGTATAACTTGTGGCTAGTTCCATTTCACTCTGACACGCTAATCTTGAAAACGTCCAACGGAGCTCCGTGTTGCTCCCAGCGCCCTCCCCCGCGCTTCCTGCGGCCATGGCCGATGATACTAGTATGAGAGGTCATCTGGCTACCGCGAGCGCGACTCAACTCGCCGACGTCGTCCGATGATTGTGCCTCAAAGTCAGCCTCCGGAGGCTATCGTGGGGTCGAGCCGGCAGTAGCCGTGACATGTGGTTCCACCACCCCTCGTATGCTTTGCCTCTGACCGCCACCGTTCCCAGGCTGCCAAATGGGATGGAAAGGAAGGCTCGGCGAGCGTATAGAAGCGTGCTCGACCTCGTCGTGGCAACCTGCACGGCAGCGCTGGTAGGCGCGATGAGCGTCGTGCCACCTGACCCGAGACGGGTCGCAGGCGTCGTACCGAGCGCGTCGAGACCGTGTCCTGATGTGATCTGCACGGGTGAGTCACGTCGGCGTCAAAGGAGCGACGTGCGACCTGTCAGAGCTTGATCTCCGATCTCAGCGGCGTCGAGTCGCCTTCGGCGCGCGACAAAGGTACATCCCCAGGACGCGCAGAGGCAGCTGCGACCCAGCGGAGTGGACGGTAACGCACCGCGCCACCTGCTGTGCGTTACCGTCCACTTCGGCGGGGTCGCAGCTGCCTCTGGAAGGCACCGAGATGTACCTTTTTCGCGCAATGGTCCAAATCAAGGTTTTGTAACGCGAGCTGTGCCACAGTGAAAAGGAACTAGCCCTCTGATTGTCTGTACCCTCTTTTTTCGGACGTGTGCGTGAACCCCTCCACCGTTCCTCGTCCGCGTTCACCCCCTTGGCGGTAATATTGTGTAATGGGGAACCCCCGTGTGCCTACCCCAAAATTTTTGAAACACCCATAGGGCCCCCGTACCCTCTTCGTCTCCCCGCCCACATTCAAGAATCCTGGGAGGGAGCCCCGTCATTCATCTCAAAATGCCCCCAAAGCACGGGCCCCCCGAATCGCCGCCTCCCCAAACGCTGCGGCCCACGCGGCCGCCGGGCGGCGCGACGGCGGCTACCGGCCGGCATAGCCCTTCCAGCGCCGGCCGGGGGCTGCGGCGGCGCGCGGCGCGCGGCGGGCAAGCTGCCTGCTGGCGGGCGGCGCTTCTAGTCGTGATTTTAGTGCCGCGTAGGTCGCCCTTCGGCCACTTCTCGGGCGTGCGGCCGCAGCGCGGCGAGAAGGCGGCACGCTCGGCCCGCTGGCGGAGGTGAAGCCCCCCAGAGCGGGAGCTGGCGGGCCGGGGGCGTCGGGCGGGTGCGCGGCGGCACCCGTGCCACCGGGACGGGCCGTGGTGGCCCGTATGGCGGCCGTGAAGGGCCGTTTGGTGCGCCCCGGCGGCCTCCTGCACGGCGGCCGCCGGGGCCGGTTTGGACTGTGTTTGGGGGGGTGGAGTGGTCCGGTGGCCGGTGTGATGGTCGTTTATCACCCTCCTATCACCCACTTACCGCCCCCGGCCGTGGGGGCCTCTCCAGACGCCGCCATTTATGATTTCAAAGGGTCCTGCCGACGCTCATCACAGTGCGGCGGAGGGGCCGGAGCCGGCGCCGCGGAGGACGAGGATGGCCGTGACGGACCGGGACGAGCTCTGGGAGGTTCAGTGTCAGTGAGTATATTGTAGAGACCACCCATGTGCACAATATCTTGACTGAGAGCTAATTCTGGGGAGGCGATGCCGGGGCCGTACAGCAGCTTGATGGTGCTGCGCCGGCGTGCGTCCCGCCGGCCGCCGGGGCCGGTTTGGACTGTGTTTGGGGGGGTGGAGGGGTCCGGTGGCCGGTGTGATGGTCGTTTATGGCCCTCCTATCACCCACTTACCACCCCCGGCCGTGTGGGCCTCACCGGACGCCGCCATTCATGATTTCAAAGGGTCCTGCCGTCGCTCAGTCCGAATCACAGTGGGGCGGAGCCTACCCTGGTCGGCTTGTCTACGCACTACGACAGTACGCCACGGTACACTTTTCGGACGGGACACAACACTCGACACTCGACCGTCGACGCCCACAGCGAGGGCGGGTTCAGGGCGGAGGTCACGCCACACGCGACGCGGGCGGTCCGCCCCGGTCGGGTCGGCTCTCACCTGGGGCGTGGGATGCCGAGAGCACCGTGGATCATGCGCGACGCCACGATTGCCGCCGCCGCCGCCGTTTGCGTAGCCGCCGCCGCCGCCGTAGCCGCCGCCGCCGCCGCCGTAGCCGCCGCCGCCGCCGCCACGATAGCCTCCGCCGCCGCCGTAGCCTCCGCCTCCTCCCCTCTGGAACTTGCCGCCGCCGCCGTAGCCGCCGCCGCCGCCGCCGTAGCCGCCGCCGCCGCCACCACGATAGCCTCCGCCGCCGCCGTAGCCTCCGCCTCCTCCCCTCTGGAACTTGGCGAGCATTCGGACGACGAGCAGGTGGCGCTCGATCCCTATGACTTGGAGATTTCGCGAGGACGAGGGCGGCAGGGGCCAGCGCGTCCGGGCGGCGGGACCAGCGCGTGTAGAGGGGGGGTAGGGGGGGGGGGGGGGGGTCGGCGTGCGTCGACGTCGGCCAGAGCGCACAGAGATGCTGAGTCGTACAGCTCCGACCGCAGCTCCAACTTCAACGTGGCCCGCTCACGACACTCACAATTGAGGGGCGGTGTGCGTGCCGAAAGGACGAATAAGGAGATGCCCGCATCGCGATCGGGCGGCCGGCTGGCTGGCTCGCCATGCGGTTGATGCGCGCCGATTTTTACGAGTCTAAGTGGCGTATTCCAAAAAAAATACAATCGCGTGAGTAATGCAGTCCCGGCTCCCCAGCTCCGGTCCGCGCTCACAGCCGCGCTCACAGCCGCGCTCACAGCCGCGCTCACAGCCGCGCACCCGGGGGGCTCTCTGCACCTCCTGATCACGAAGACCCGGAAAGCCAGCCTGCAATGCGCAAGACGGTGTTGCTGACAGTTTTCTTGCCAAGTCCCTTGTTGTGCGGCGCATTCTGCCACATGTAGTTTGACGCCGTGTTGCGACCGCCCTTTCCTTTCGGGTAAATGTGCCCCGCGTTCTTCTTCTTCTTCGCCTTTTTGATCGCGGACGATGAGTAGCCAGCCGCTTCGTACATCTTTTTAGCGAATTTGTGGACGGCCTTGTTGTTCTTGAGCTTCCCTGCCTTCTTGTTAGCGATCGCACCGTTGATCATCTTGCTCACTGGGCCGTATGTCCCGACCGGCGCCATGGTTCAACTGATGAACAGCGGGGTAGGGGGATGGGCTGTGGGCTCGGGAGGGGTGCAGAAGTGACCGTCTCTGGGCGGCGCGCGGTGCTACTCTGTCTGGGCGGGAGGCGCCTCCTTCGCCCGACCGGGACACGGCCGAAAGTTTTTTCTTTTTATCCCTCGCCTAAAATGGTGTTTGCTATTTCTCCTTTCGACCTTGTCCGGTTTTTATCATCTATGTTGGACAGTAGATTCGGACCCAGTGCTACGGCTGGTGACAGCGTGCCTCGTGTCGGCTCCCGACCGAGCCAATCGTGTGCAGCGTGTGTGTGCGTGTGGGCCCGTCCTCCATGCTAGGAGGTGTGTAAGACTGACTAACGGTTAGAAAGTAGAATCATGAATGAGAGAGAGAGAAGTTACAGAGAGGGAGAGAGAGAGGGAGAGAGGGAGAGAGAGACAGAGACGAGAGAGTAGAGAGAGAGATCTTCAATGGAGACACGCATAAACAAAATAGAGATACTACACCACGGGGCTAGCTCCTCCAAGAGGTCTAATCCTGCCCACACGCTGCACGGTCCTGGCGGTGCAGGGATGGGTGCGGTGCACGCCCGCCATGAAGCCCGCCGTCGTGAGCATCCGCTCTGGCCTCCCGCTGGCCAGCCCATTGGGGATGGTCAGGCAGCGCACGTAGGTCGCCGAGTAGTTGAGGTGCAGCTGGTCGAGCACGCGGTCAATGACGGCGGGCGAGCCGAAGAAGCAGTTGTCGTCCGCCAGGTAGTACTGCAGCCCGCCTGCGGTTCGGAGATCTCGGCTAGATCTCGGCCAGATCTCGGCTAGTTCTCGGCCAGATCTCGTCCAAGCCTCGGCTGGATCTCGGACAGGCCTCGGCTTCGTCTATGCTGTCGTCCGGCCATATCTCGGCTAGACCTCGGCCATATCTCGGCCATATCTCGGCTAGATCTCGCCCTTCGGGTCGCAAGACAGCAACCGGCCGTCCATCTCGAGCGGCTCCGCCAGCCGCCCGTCCTCGATCCCAAGGCCGGCGCCTCGCCTCCTCTGCTCGACGTCGGCGGCGAGGGCTACGCACTCCCAAAACAGCGCGAGCCGCTCCTGCGCCACCCGCGCCTCCGGCCGGCTGTGGAAAGTGGGATAGTCCTTGCCGTCGGGCCGCAGCCGCACGACGGCCGCGAAGGCGTCGCCAGAGTCGCGGCGAAGCTCGTTGGCCTTCCACAGCGCGCGCACATTCTGCCGCCACCCAAAGTGGCGCTCGGGCCCCCAGTTGAGCGGCAGGTTGGCCTCGAAGCGGGAATGGTTGGGTGTGACACGGTCAGCGTCGCTGCAGCAGGCGCGCTGCTCCTCCACCACCAGCGCCGCCGGCCGAAGCGTCCGCATCACGCGCTCAACGCAGGCCGCGCTGGAGACGTTGGCGGGCCCACGCGGCGTGGGACTCCAGTGCGGCGTCGGCGGCGTCAGGTGAGACCACGTGTGCACAAAGACGCGGCAGCGGGCAAACCTCTGCTCGCAGAAGCGCAGGTGCTGCTCAACCGGCCCGACCTGGCAGCCGTGCTGGAGGTGGCCGCTCACCTGTATGGCGACGCTGGCCTCGAGCCGAGCGAGCGAGCGCGGCGGGTTGTCGCGCATCGTGCAATTCGACCACCCACCTCGACCCGCTCCCTGCGCGGCTCCCCTGAGGCTTCCCGTGCCGCGGGCCTCGTGGGGTCTCCCCCTGATGGCGCGCCTCCTCCGCTGCCGATTTGGCCACTCGTCCGTTCGTGTAGTGGACTGTTCGCGTGCGAGTGTCGGTGATGTGCAGGGTCCTGGGAAGCAAAACCAGCGCAGGCGTCTTTGCACGACACGCTGCAAACAAGTTGCCTCTGTCGTCGGGCGGTTGGGGGTGGTGTGGGGGCGGGCGGTGGGGGGGGGGGGGTATTGTGTCGTTAGCACTCCCCGTCGACTCGGCAAGCGCGACCTGCGACTCTGGAGCGTGACTTCGTCCCCTTGTGTGCAGCACATGCGTGTGCCGCGTGTAGCTCCATGCTTCAGCCGCGGGACCAGGTACGATGCATTATACAATGATACTGCTCTCTGCCACCGTTTAACACTCAGACTGCTTCACAGAAGTCACACTTATTCCCCACCGATGTGAGGCGTGGTCTCAGCTGGAGGGAGCGTCCCCACGTTCTGGTAGAAAAATTACAACTGTTGCGGCAGTCTGCAGGTCAGTTGCAGTCTACAGTTGTAAAAAATACAACAACTTGTTGCGCACAGTCTGCAGGTCAGCTTGCGCCGCTTGCTGGTGGAGAGAAGCAGCGGGTCGCGAATGGCGTGTCCGTGTGTGAAACATAGGAGGTATTCTCGTCTCAATTACAAGGTCTGTGAATTTAGCAGAAGGCGCTCTCAAAAACTTAATGTTGTCGTTTGATATTGATTGACGGGCGAGGCGGGCGGCGCGGGCGGCGCGCGATCTTTTGCTTTTGCTTGGGTGAGGCGTGGCCGGCGCGCCGCGCGGAGATGGCGGCGCACGCTGGAGATGCCTTGGTGACCCACACCGCGGTGGCAGCGAGCCAGAGCAAGCGGCCTGCCGCATGACGGGTTGACCTCGTCCTCGAAAAAGAATCGTACAGTACAGATTGATTGACCGCGGTTTGTATTGTTCAGACGACATATCAGAGATATCAAACGACTTTTTTATTTTTGACACAACACAACCGTAAAGACAAGCATAAGACGAGAAAGCCACATGACGACCACTACATTGATTAGCTGTGCCTTCGTGGACTAATGGACGCCCGCTATAGTGCGCGACCGTAGTCGACTCCCCGTGTCTCGCGAGGCGCCGCGGCCGAGGCAGCGCGACGACGAGGCGGCGGAGCGTCCGCGTGCCGCCTTGCGGCGGCGGCATCAGCCCGCCTCAGCTCGACGGCGGAGGCGACGGCGGATCCCTCCCTCCAAGCATCCCTTCTCACACCCCTTGCGGGTGGGCGAGCAGCGCGACGTCGAGCTCCCACACCTTCGCCGTGGTGCCGGCGGCCGCGGCGAGGGCGCGCAGCGCGACGCAGATGAGCGCCTGGTTGAGGAGGAGGGACAGGGGCAGCAGCACGCGCTGCGGCGTCGAGAATGTGGCGTGCGCGTCCGGGAGGGCGAGGGCGAGGAGCAGCACCGCCACCGCCACCAGCCCCGTCGCGTTCCAGCCGAGGGCGGTGCGCACGCTGCCCGAGAGCGACTCGGCGCCGGCGAGCACGCCTAAAAGAGGAACAGGCGAGTAAGAAGGAGAGCACGCTGCCCGAGAGCGACTCGGCGCTGGCGCGAGCACGCCCTGCGAGCCGTCGGACAAGTGCATGAGCCGCCTGAGGTCATCAGAGCTCGTTCGTTCTCTCGCGGTGCTTCTTCTTTTAGAGCCGTCGACAAGTGCTTGAGCCGCCTGAGGTCATCAGAGCTCGTTCGTTCTCTCGCGGTGCTTCTTCTTTTAGAGCCGTCGACAAGTGCTTGAGCCGCCTGAGGTCGGAGCTTGACGGCGGTCCGCGCCTGTGGACGCGTCGCGGGCGCGTCGGGTGGGGAGTGTCGTGGGGAGCGCACACCCTCGGCGGCCGAGAGTGTCGGGCGCGCGCCGGCGGAAGGGCAGCCGGTTGCCGCCGACGCGGCACTGCACGGCGGCCGCGGCGACGAGGGCGGCGGCCCACAGGCTCGCCACCGGGGCGGCGATGATGGCGACGGGGGGGAGGGAGAAGACGGCGACGCACGCGTTGGCCGACGAGGCGCAGACCGTGGCGAGCGACATCAGGACGAGCAGCAAGTGCCACACCTGGGGGAGGGGGGGGGGGGGGGGGTTGGAGCTTGGGCTCGGGTTCGGGTTCGGGTTAGGGTAGCGGCAACTGCCACACCCGCGGGACGAGACGCGCAATCTCAAATAATCTCGCGGAGGCTCGGGTAATCCGGGAGTAGTCTCGGGGGAGGGAGTGCCACACCTGCACGGACGGGACGCGTGACACGGACGGGAAGCGATCAGGCGTGCGGGCTTGCCCGCTGCCGCGACCACAAGCAGGAAGAGAGTCGCCGACGCGAGCAGCGGCAGCGGGGAGAGCGCGGTGGGGCCGAGCAGCGCTCGCCGCGCCAGCTCGAGCGGCGGCGGACAGCCCGTCCCGCAGCCCGGCAGCTGCAGGCCCGGATCGATGGCGTCCGGCGAGAGCAGCCTCGCCTATTCACAGCCCGAGGTGTGAAGAGACGCTCTTCACAGGCATGGCGCCCGGCGAGAGCAGCCTCGCCTATTCACAGCCCGAGGTGTGAAGAGACGCTCTTCACAGGCATGGCGCCCGGCGAGAGCAGCCTCGCCCCTTCCGGCAGAGGCCAGGAGCCGGCCGGTCCGACGCCGCTCAGCAAGGCGAGCTGCGCCTGATCTCGGGCTGATCTCGGCTGATCTCGGCGGATCTCGGCGGATGGACGGCTCAGCAAGGCGCAGCTGCGCCTCTGGCCGCGGGGTGGGTAGCAACACGAGGCCGAGCTGAGGCGCCGTCGCTGGACCGCACACCCCTCTCCCGCCGCCGCCCCCGCCGCTCCCTCCGCTCCCGCCGCCCCCTCCGCTCCCGCCACCGCCGCCTCCGCCCCCTCCGCTCCCTCCGCTCCCTCCGCTCCCTCCGCCCCCTCCGCCCCCTCCGCTCCTCGCCAGCGACGGCCACAACGCGTCCCACACCGCGTTCCCGCTTCCGCCTACTCACAGCCCGAGGTGTGAAGAGACGCTGTTCACGCCGCGTCCCACACCGCGTTCCCGCTTCCGCCGGCGGCGGCGTCGCCGCCGCCAGCCTCGCCCTCCGGGTAGCTCGTGCCGCCGGCCCCGGCCACCGCCCCAGACACGGCCCCCGCGACGAGCGGCTGCGGCGGCGGCGGCGGCGCGCGGAGCAGCTGCCGGTGACCTAA